GCGCTCAGTTGTGATTTTGTTCCTGTAATTGCCGAATCATGTGCTTCGCTGCTTGTTTGTTGCTTTCCTCACCGAGTCTCTTCAAAACGTCCTTTCGCAAAGGCATGTCTGGTCGTCAGGCGCGAGAGGTCGTGATGAATGTCTACTTTTCAATGCTGCAGGAGACTCCGGCCGCGTCGTACCGCAAATGCTTTGTAAACAAGAAAAGCGTCCGGGCCACTACAATTCCCTTATACACAGCGAAATCAGGGCACCCCTTTTCCTGCCGATCACATTGTACGCCAAGAAGCTGGTAGAAAGGACTGTGGCTCGAGCCCTGGTATATCCGGACAATACAAGGAAACATCAACGGCCGGGTCGTCGGGCATCTTGCAATGTCTACTTACATCTCGAAACTATGCCGAAATGCCGAACAGGTGGAAAGCTCGGACACAGACGCCAGCGGCCAGCATACGTACTGACATCCCCTGCGACTAAATTTCAGAACGTGAAAGGTCACTTTTTAAACCTGTAGCAGACGATTTCGTTGATACACCCGTAGCAGACGAAATTCTCGGCGAGCGCGGGCGGCGCGGACGACCAGCGGCGCAGCGGAGCGATACCAAGTGCAGGCGAGATCGCGTGACCAATTGCCGGCGTGTGATTGGCTCCGGCCACACGTAGCTTTGGCTGCGTTCGGACGGAAGTTGAAATGAAGTATAGTATTCACGTGAAGCGTTAAGGTGAACTATTTATTCCGACGAAAAAAACTGCCGCAGCGTAGATTGCTGCATGGAGCTGACCGCATGCCTTATTACGGCCGGCTCCACTGTATCCAAGGGGTCCACCAGCGCCAGATCACTACCGTCGATTGCACTGCAGTAGCGGCGTAAAAGCGAGACCGTCTTCCCGACAATGTTGTAACAGGCTTTGAAGCGTTGCAGCCACCCGCTACTTGCGGCGACGAAGTCCTTTGCTTTCTGTTGAAGCATTGGCCTGACGCCGGAATGTTCCGAGCCCTTCCGTCCATAAACCACTTGTGAAGTGATCTTTCCACCTTTTCGAAGGCCGGTGTCCGAACACGGCGTGCGCTGGAGTGCTTGCTTTGTTCAGCCTTCGGTTTGATGTCACTTTTCGTCTTCAGCAGCGTGCTCAAAGTGCTTCGCAGTATGTTGTACGCTTCGGCAATGCTGGACTTCTTTTCTCCTTTTTCAACGCGGCGGATGATTTCAAGCTTTGTCGCGAACGTCAGCGACGTACGTTTCTTTACGATTGTTGCCATCGCCACATGCGGTTGACGCAACGTCGGAGGAACGAACCCGGAGCCACGAAACTGCACGGGGCTTGAAAAGAGCGATGCTGGCGATAGGACTGAGCTGACTGGACTGAGCCCGAATGTCGCCGAATCTGGATGGCGTTCCCGGCACCACAGGCATAAAGCTTTATGCGGGCATGCGCTTGAATAAAAGTCGCAAACGCCTGCTGCGCCACCGCTATCCTACGATGTGTTGCGGGAAAGCCCGTGTTCCAAAACTTACTCGATCTAACTCTAGGGTAAAGGTGGTTGTCGAAAACCTACCCGCGTCCAGCGTTTCTCTATTTTTGATGTCGCGTGACATAATCCGCCAGGGTAACTCGTATCCATTCGAGTAGGTTTGGAACGCAGCCTCGGTGTGTCGCGCTCCTGTACGCTATGCGCCGTTTAGTTGCTGCACTCGGAGTAGGAGGAGTAAAAGAGCGCCGACTTGACGCGCCCACTGCCACAGATAAGGTACGCCGCCAACGACGGTTTGGCGGGATGGCGGATGGCTGCGACTGCTGCTGGCGGCAGCTGCCACGACTCACTCGCTGTCGCGGAAGCGCAACGAGAAGGCACGTGATCTGTACCGAGTCTTCCCAAAATTCTCTGCCGTCGTGGCGCTGTACGCTTTGCAACAGGTCTATTAACCACTAGTTTTGGTTTCAATTCACAGTACTATCAGTACTATGTCACGACCCACTGCTCGCATTTTCAATTTTGGAACTTCGAAGATATGTACAATAGTGCAGACGTTGCCGAGCAATAAAAGAAAAAGGCTTCGGTGCCTTTTTTTCTGTTCCAGATTTGCTGTTAAAATGATACAAGTCGCAAATACAAGTAGACATGTTTCGGCTCACGGTACCCATCCCCGACATGTTGGTGCGAATTTGTCCCAATCCAAGAGCCCCCAGTTACCTGGCACGTCGTTCCAGCAGGCGTGATTGTCATTGCCTTCAGTGCCTCGCACCATTGCTTCAAACATTGCAGCCGGAGGCAGCGACAGCACTGGCCGGTCTCTTGCCCTGTCGCTATCGCAGAGATTTGTCACCACTGTCTCCATGTGGTCTGCCGCCGCTCCCACAAGAATGAGTGAGGGGCTCATCGGCCGGCTTGTTCGTGGCCCACCTCCTGTTTCAGAAACCAAAGAATTTGAAGCTCAGATTGGAGAGAGTGAACAATGTATGGGACGAACAATTCAAAGAGCACACTGAATTTTCGAAACGCCTCCGTGCGAGATAAAAACAATTGTTAAGGGGACTAGGGCGAACCTAATGAAGAGAAAATCTAGCACAACCCAGTGGAGGCCCACCTGGAACCTTCGTATGGGCAATTGAATGCTGGGCACTTTGTTAGGATAGGCTTCCGTCAAGATGCGGGGACCTCATTTGTTTTCCGTGACGATTGTAAAAAAAAATGTCAATAACGCCAAATGTTCTACAAAAAAATATGTCAAGAAAAAAGCAAAGAAGTAGGCCCACTTTGGATCGAACCTGGATCGGCTGCATGCGTATGAAGCGAACTTTGCTACGCTACAGCTTTGAACAACTCGTTTTGAAAATTCGTTTTATACGAGACCCGGAAAGGAGCACGACGTCGTGCACATAGCATTGTTCCGGTAGAAAGGACTTCTCTCCGATGTTTACTTTTTACACATCGGGAACGGTTTACCAAATATGCAAATTGTCGACTTACCCGTGGCGTGGATGTCTCTCGTCTCGTCGGACTTGGTTTTTTTGTATCTGGATTTTTCGTTCTCCCGGACGTTTGGCTGGCTGTTATACTCGGTGCTGAGTTTCTCCCAAGCTTTAAGTTTAGCCTCCTTCGAGTAGTTATTTGTCTTCTTGTTTTCAAGAACTCGCTCATGTTTCGTTACGAGCGCTTGGAGGAGCGCCTTCTCCTCCGCAGTATAAATAAAACGAGCCCCTGCCCGCTCTTCGGTATCGGCCATTTCCGAGTCGTTGCCGTTGGGGTCCTCCATGATTTGTCGTGCGAGGCGGCGAGGCGGCGAGGCGACGAAGCAGGGCTGCACGGTAGACAAAGGGCGGCGAAAGCAAGAAAAAACGAGACGAAATCGACAAACCGTGAGATAGACGACTGTCGACGAGAGAACGACAAGACGCAGCTAGCGAATGCGCTTGTTGCCAGACAAGGTAACGACTTTGTCCGTTTTGCCGCTCAAACACGTCTAAACTTTACGCTGCCTTAATAGAACTTCGTAGTTCACTAATTCGATGTTTGTATGGTACACGTTTTTAGATAACACGAACGAATATATTTACTTTTCACGTGAAAATGGTGTTTCGAATAAAACCTTTGGCTATAATCTCGCTCCCAGACGTCCTCAAGCTTGTTGGAGTGGAGAACGGAATCTCGAGTTCGAGTGAGCGCCGATTCGCGTCTGTGAATACGAATGGCACTTCGAGTGGAGTAGGGCGTCCATACTCCACTCGAGTCGAGTCGAGTTTGGAGTCGAGTAGGGGAATGTTTATGAATACGGCGGTAATTGTCCCTGTGTGGATCAGATTTCTAGGTTTAATCATATTCTGTGTTTTGGTCTACCGCAGTGATTGGCTCGGACGTGATCTGCAGTAAACTGAACTCGCCAGCTTTTTTTTAGAGACTGCTGAATGTTTTTCAAAAGAGAGGGAGAGGGGGGGGACGGAGAGAGAGATTCACGTCACGTTAAGAACGACGCAAATCATTGTCTATAAATAGGGCGTTATATACTATATATATCATAAAAACTTCAGCCTTTCCACTCCGGTGAAGAAGGAACACCAGTGAAGGTGCACATATATGGTGGGAATGAAGTAACGGCTGGCCGCCAGTCGGCAAGCTAGAGTGAAAAGGCTGGAAAGGTTGCCGCCATCTATGAGCGAAGGCGGCAGTTAGACAACTGGGAAGTCGGTTGTCTGCTTGCCGCCGTCGCTCATCGATGGCGGTAGCTGTCCAGAGTTTTGTATCATCATTTGTTTACTGGCGGACACGATCCTGGGGAAACTAGGCCGTAGCAGCTCCGCTGTAAAAAACTGCGAGGTCAAAAAGTTGCTTTCAACCATCTTAGTTCGTTACGTGAACTCGTTCCAAAACGTGAGAAGGAACGAGGAACATAGTTAAGTATGCGGGGAGTGTCTACAACGTACATCTACCTACGGTACATTTTACTTTGTTTTACCACACCTTGGTAAAGAGCGAATAAAGGGACTCTAGCCATGGCCTCTAGTCAGCGCACCCAGCCTCATCAGCCCCACTCACTGCGGCCGCCTTGAGCGCTCTCGTTTTCTCTCGCGAAAAGAGCCACTCGCCAAGCAGTTCTCGGCGGAGTGCGAACCAGAATCCAGCGGCCGTGGCCACAAAGCACCAGCTTATTCCGGACCTTAAACCCTCAAAAGTGTGTCACCGATGTCTCAAGATCTGCAGCTGCTACACCAACTGGTAGCTCTACGCGCAGTATTCAGAATGTGCCCGATGCCCCGATGATACTCGCGAGTGATTTTTTGGTATGGTTTCGCTTTGTCTCTTTTTTTCTGCTCAGTGCTTTAACCAGATGCTAGGGCCCCGTCAGGACATGATCTTGTCTCCTTTTGCCCTATCCCCTCAAATACTTTTTTCTTTGTCATAAAAAGAAAAAAAAAAAAAAAAAGTCCGATACAATAGAACATAATTTCGTTGAAACGAAGCAGCGGCGACTCTAACAAGTGTGCTTGCGTTCCGTCGACAGGTGCTACTCGGCCGTCGGGCGCATGGGCAATGCCCAGCCCTTATCCCTGGGCGACGGCTGCGTCTTCCGGGGCACCATCATTCACGAGCTGCTCCATGCCGTGGGCTTCTACCACGAGCACTCGCGCTCGGACAGGGACCAGTACATCAACGTCTTCCTCCAGAACGTCGATCCCCGTAAGGAAAGCCGTCCTCCATGGGTCCGGAACGCATCTTCGACTAGGGTGGCGCAACCAATACCGCCTAGTAGGCAAGGCGCGCATGATTTCATTGCTAGCGAATTCCCGACCCACCCGAAGTGGCTAACACGCCGAGGCTTGACGAGAACATCTGCAATAGATGGATGGATGGAGGCTAACGTCTGTACCCTTTATATCGGGCGGTAGCTTGCGCCACCTACCCTAGTTATACGTCGCAAATCGGCAGACGGATGCATGTTGCCGTCGCCCCAACCGCGCGCTACTTCTGAGACGCTGCACGACGCCCTGGCGGCAATGCGGATGCATGGGATGCGTCGCCGCGTGTAGAGTAATAATTTTTTTATTTTCAGAAAGGGGGAGGGGGGGGGGGGGGGATAGGCACAGGCCTTATCTTATAAAGACCTTTTCCTCGAGGGCGCCAACATCTTAAATATCGTCACTTGCAGTATATGGGCGAAAACACTGTTTTGCCGTAGCCCCGGCAAGAGAGTACATCTACACTCTGAAACAAGGGTGTCGTCTCACACCCTTCTGTCCCATATAATATAATGCACCCCAAAGGTTCAGTTCGATGTACAGCGCACTGACGTTGAACAGACGGCCCGAACTTTTGCGAGGGGCTTGATAACGGTGAGATTTACCTCATTAAAAGCTGAAGTACGTATCAAACTCTACAATAAAATAAGAAAACACTGAGGTTTTGCAGTAGGGCCAAAAACAAAACAAAACACGATTACTTTTTTTTAAATAAGTAAAATGGACGTTAGCTATTTTAATAAGTTGTACCACTCGGCTATCAAAACGCTCGTGAAAGTTGGTACCGTCGGTTCGACGTCAGCGCGCTGTACACCGAACTGAAGTTTAAGAGTGTCTTCTATGGGACAAAGGGTGTAAGAATACACCTTTTTTTTCTCTCCTGAAAGTGTAAGATACAAGCGCAGCCGTCACCCGTTCTCCTTTTGCTTCCCCTCTAGTTTACTGCGATAGCGATTCGTGGGCACTTGGCGAGTTTGGCGCCGCCGACCGCGCTCGACATCGACGCTGCCGGCCGCTTTCGGCACACACGCCAACATATTACACATTGACGTCAGGCTGCTGACGTCATGCCGCTCACGTCACGCCGCTGACGTCACGCTGCCGACGTCACGCCGCCGATGTCACGCCGCTGGACACTACTGTGGCGTCACTCCGCCCATCGCTGCACCCGTAAACTGGCGTCATCTGACATCATGTCGTTACATTCTTATGTTAAGTCGCGATGCACAGTGACGCCGCGCGAGTTAATGACGTCAGATGACACCATGAGTCACGTGATGTCATGGCGTCACGTGACATTTAGACGCCATGCGACAATGCGTCGTCACCCGACGCCATCGCGGCACGTAGAAACACAAACATGAAACAATGAAAACGATAAAAACAAAACGTTGTAGGTTCGCTAATTGTGACAGATAGATTCTCGGGTGATAAAACGAACGAGGCTAGGAGGATGTTGAGCCGGCGAAACCATGAGCGTGAAATTAGCTACACGCTTGAAACTTGAGTGCACGAGTTTGGAATTGTTCCTCGGTGACCAGGAGACGGCGTTGCTTTGCATCGCGTAAGACGTTCGGGCAGCCACACCAACGACGAAGAAATGTACATGCATACACGTGCAGCTTCGTCGTTCCCTGGATTTCAAACTTGGGAGCGCAAATTTAAAAGTGTTCTTCAATTACCAGAAGGCAGTCCTTGTTTCTATCTAGAAAAAATGTTTAACAGGTTCACGAAACGCTCTCTTTTTGATACCCTCTCATTGGTTCCAAAACACTATAGAACTTTCGTCCGGTGTGTTAGTCGGATTAATACGAAACGTCTATGCGGACTCTATGGTGCAAGCTCGCACCTTTACCATTCATTCGGTTCATCTGCTCCCAAATGACACCTTAGCGGCTGCGACGTCACACATCAGCTGTCGTAGAGTTTCACCTTAGGGGTAGCGTAAGTTTCTGCCAATCATATTTACTATTTGCAATTTTAAATCTTTTTATTATTTTTTCGTCACCCATATCGCATATATGCCTACCAGCTGGCTGTGTACGAGAGTAAACAAAAAAAGTCCTGCACTTCGTTTCAGTTCCAGACGCATCCGACGCTACGAGGTAATGATACCAATCAAGCCTTGGCTGCGTCCGGACTATAGTGGGTACCGAATCCAAACTTAAGATATACCTTTTCCGTTTTAGAAATAAGTTAAACATGATCAACTCTATCTGCTAATGACAATCGCACGCTTGCATTTCAAACGGATGGCGGTATTTATCTTTCTAAATGTTCTATTCTGGGGAGCGTTTCAAAATCAGCCACCGAAGACCGCGATGCGGCTTGCGATATCCTTCGCGCCCACCACTTCCCCGTGACGTCATCGGCCTCCCTAGGGCCTAGCGTACCGTAGTTATGAGCGTTGACACTTGGCGGTGTCAACGCGTTACCACCTCGCTTAGTCAGAGTGCCCAAGGGCTGTAACATATCACCGGGAGATTGCGGAGCCGGCGGAGTAGTGCGCGTTTATGACAACTCGTAATTTACACGTAGTGCACCGTCTGCTCCGCGACTTGGACGATATGACGACATCGGCCACGTCGGTTTCGGGCGCGAGCTCGCGGCTCTTTGAACGGGGCGACATCGTCGCGAGGCGGATATGGTACCTCTGTTGTTGCGCACGGGACGGTTTCTCGCAACCGTTATTAAAACGGTTGCGAGAAACCATTTTAATAAGAGCTTTGGGTTTACATGTAGCAACTCTTCATGGATGAAAATATGGTGCATCTGATGTTTCGATCTTGATCATGCCAAAAGATGTAAAAATCGAACGTGCCGCTGGAACTCTGTTTTTCCCGGACAGTATGTCACCGCTCGGACGGCAGGTTCCCGGCTCTTGGCGCCTGCCATACGGATTATGCCGATCGTTCCGCTAGTCTCGCCTTTCCGCCATGATTTTGGATGGCCATGATTGAAACATCACGTGCACCATATTTTCTCCGACGCAGTAGTACTCCGACGCACGTATTAATTTCGTATATCGCGACCACCGCCAGGGTATTATTTCCGGCTTCTGGTTGGCCACATTCGAATTTGTGAAGACGCCCTGGAACACGCCCAGCCCGCTTTTGGCCAATGGCGCCTCCTCATCTGCCTCCGGGGTGATTTCAGATAAGGTCGACCAAGGGTGGCTGGTCGGCATTCATAAATCAACTGATGTTTTTATGTGCTATCGCCTAGTGTCTGGTATAAACGAAATCGCCCTTAGGTTTTACCAGAAAAAAAAAATGGGGACAGGAAAATTTGTGAGGATTGAAAGGTGGACAGTTGGCAATAACGCGCACTGATGGGGGCACGTTTGAAATTGAATTACTAAAACAATGAAATTAGGAAAATTCTAATACTTTTTAGAAACAAACTATGAGCATAGCTTGCTTGTAATATATAGTAATATTATTTATTTAAATTATATTTCTTTTGCTAAAAATTGCTAAACCTGCCTGCCCGAACGACAAGTGGCGAAATTTGGAGGCCTGTATCTCTTGAAATAGTTTAATCACAAGTATATACTTTTCAGATACTATTATATTTATATATGCCTAATATATAAAATATATATTATGTCCCTGAGTGATACGATAGTCGTGTTACATTTAGGCGAACGTGGGGAAAAAATCAAATTACTAAAAATTCCGATGCCAATAAAAAAACAACACCGCCACCTTCGATTCTTCTTAAATTTGGGTACCTTGTTATACGCTATTTCGGCATTCATTTCTATTGAAAACATGTTGCATTATTGTATTTAGAAAGAAGATATAACTCCCCAAAGTAGGGTTCTTTTTCAAAGCCTACACTTAGCAGTGCCCTATACGAGAAGTGACTCTGAGCTCCAGTTTCAGAAAACTAACACGCATCTTTTATATATTTTTATTCAGATGAGGTCATTGAATAGTAGAACAGTCGGTCACACAGTAAAAGTGAGGAGAAACTACTGTGCACAAAGAGAAAAAAAAATACAGTTCGAGGGCGAGGGACGAAGGTAAAAGGTAACCGACATGACACAGCACTGTGTCCCGTTGGTTACCTTTTACTTTTTCCTCGTGCGCGCGCTTTCTGTTTGTTTTAGTTATGTTTAAAATGCAAGAACGGATGCCTCCTGCGCCGACTGGCAACAACTGCGCATGCGTTTTCTTGTCTCTTGGTGACGAGGAAAGTGGGCGGAAAGGCAGAAACGTTTGCAGACGGTCACCGCTTTCTTCACGTCTGATCGTAGCACGTTTTGCAATCGAGGTCCGTGAGTCACGTGATTGCGATCGAGCATTTGGAAAGACTGTGCAATCTAAGCACACACTGCCATGCTGTAGAATGTCCCGATCCTAGCGGCTGGTCGTAGAAATATTGGGGGGAAAAGGCGAGTGGACGTGAGAGTAGCTGCCGTCGCGGCGTCCCAACTAATGTCCGCTTATCTAGGCATATTTCCAGCTTCGTCCTTCCCCGAGCTTCGTCCATAGATTGCAGCAATTGGCTCTTTCAAGTGCTTAGCGGGAAAGTAGAAGGTCCAGGTTTCTTAGAGCGGGGGCATTAGAGAGCGCAGCTCTGAGGCGCCTGTTTCCGGCTAGAGTGGCGTTGGCGTCGCCGTCGGCGTAACCGCGCGTTGCATTATAGGACGTTTTCTATAATGACGTCACACGTGACATCACGAGTAGGGGAGGGGGAGACGAGGAGGGAGGAGGAGAAAGGGAAGAGGAGAAAAAAAAAGAGGAGGCAGATAGGAGGAGAAGGAGAGGGGGAGAGGAGGTGAGGTGGAGGAGGAGGGGAGATGCCTGTGCTACCCGTTGTGCAGGCAAGTGATATCACCATTCATACATCACAGAGAGGCTAGTATGAAAATTTGGTGTACTTGTTATCCAAGCGGTCATTTACATGGGTACGGGTCTGTGCTGTACCCACCGA